TTCTGCAAAGCCATCATAAAACACTTCCCTAGACTTGCGTGTGAATTTTTTTAATAATGCCTCAAATATATTTATTGGATGTTTGGAACCATTTCATATGAAAATAATTTCTAAGTATGAGTAGAAAAAAGGGGGGGGAAGTACGTATATTACAGGAATTTTTTTGTATGAAGATCATTTCATTCAAATGAGATTTGTTCAAAAAGTATTCATAAGGAAATCTATTTAATATGACTGAAATTTCAAGGGCTCAATTTTCATCTCGGTCTTGTGCTACAATAATACTGTAGATCTCCTTTATGCCATAAAGAAGCATCTTTATGTTATAAAAGATAAAATGTTTTTCACGCAACATATAGACTTTAATCTGCATTTTAAGAAAATCCCTTTGGGCCAGATTCTAGTACAATTTCACAAGAAAATTCCTATTGAGGCTGACTGAATTCCAATATAATTTGAAAGCAATTAAGGTTTATCAAAGGAATTATGCAGTAGAGTTATTCTGGAAATGAATCAGGCCCAAAGGCAGTAAAACAAGCATATTAGGTCTTTGGATTTCTTAAATTCTATTCACTCACTAAAACTACAGTGTTCCAGTGGAGGGAGGGAGGACAAAAGCCTTATAAGGCAATTTATACAGATTCATTGAAAAGTTTCTTAAAACTTGATAATGTCATTTCCAAACGGGCATTCCTGTACAACCTGAAGTATAACACTTCTAGTATGCTTTAATAAAACATAATCTAAGCCTGATACAACACAAAATTTCCAATTTAAAATCTTTTCTTCTGTGTTGTTTTTATCTTTCTTAAAAATGTCTGAAGGGTCATATTTCACCACCTCACTACCTCAGTGAGTGCCAGTTAAGAGTTTCACACAAAAGTAACACAGGAAACAACTCTAAACAAAGGAAGGGAACACAGAAAGGAAGGAAAGAATGTTTCCCTGTGCATATCCTCAGGGGTCGCATTATATCATCTGTGTACAATACCTCATCTTTTCCATAACGTTCTATACCATTAATTAAATTTAATTAATTAAACATAGGTTGTTTTTTATCATAGGAATAGTTGCTATATCAATATGGTCTAAAAGAAGTGAATAGATTCTAAGGAAAATGAGATTTATCAGTTGTCTATTTATGCACATGCCACCTTGGGATTAAGTTTGTAGAGTTAACTTGAAAATCATCAGCACATGTTAGCTAACTGCTTTTAATTAGTTGGTTAAATAGAGAAATAAGATCTCAGGGTAATTAATTCCATAAGTTAATGACTACTATTGTTAAGTCAAGCTCATTTTCATTTTAAGAAATTTTACCAAAAACTACAAGTCTACCCTCAATCACAATGATGATATTTGACACAAAATTCTGGAAAATATGCTCACTCAAGTGAAAATTCCAAAAGGGAAATGATAGCCAGACATTTCAAGTTAATACACTATCTTGAGAGAAAATTACATCCAGAATGACATGTAGAGCTACACAGACCTGCTCCCCAGCAAAACAACCATGACTGATAGAATTAAAAAAAAAAAAAAAAGAAGAAATTTAAAAGTCTGAAAATTTTTCTAAGGACCCACAGCAAAAGAAGAAACATTTATTCAAGAAAATCTCCTAAATCTCAGTAAGAACAGGAAGAGTATTTGGAATTTGTGCCATAAACCCACTCCTTCCCTTCCCCTACTCCAGGCTTATAGCATGATTAAATCTCCACTTTTGGTGGGGATGACCAAGAAGATGGGCCTCACCTCAATTCCCAATCAAGGGATACTAAAAAAGTTGCAGAGGCTAAGCCCCTGAGGACTACAGCCAAGAGCTCACAGCTCCCTTTCTTCCACAGCCCCCACTCACAGAGCAGAGGTTCTATACCAGATTCAACAAAAGCTGAGAACACCAGGGTCTTGATCACCTTTGCCCCAGCTCACTCTTAACAGCAGTAGTTCCACCCTGGGAGAGGCAAGCCACAAAGATCCGAAGCTCTTGCCCATACCCAGAGCCCTATTTGCAAAGCAGGAGTGTCACTGCATAAGAAGCAAGCCACTGACCCCACCCACAGCTGAAGAGCTGTGACTTAAAGATTTTGCCTAGGGCAAGAGGCAGTTTGTAAGAGCAAAGAGCACCAAAACTTCCCTAAAGAATTAACTTTACTCATAACGGAGTGTGGGGAAGTTCAAGCCTGGAGGCTGCTCTGGAAAACAATGGAGATTTTGGTGGCAAGTAATTAAGAGGAGAATATTAACTGTATGAAGGTAACAAGTTAAATCACTAGCTAGTTTATCAGACAGAACCACAGAAAGAGACAGCCAAGAACCCTCCTAGGATCAGAACAAATCTCACAGCTGGCCTCAAAACCATTCCAGCAAAGGGGTCCAAATTTAACTGAACCAGATGTGGAGCAATTTATGCCCCAGGGCATTGTCAAAAACAATGAAGCAACCAGCCAGGAATTAGTGGACCTAAGAGCTAGGGTGTTTGTGAGGCAAAGAGCTTAGCAGAGAGATCGAGGAAAGAGACCACGCGAGAGAGTCCTGTTACATCACTGTCATTCCAGGATGACTGTGCACATGCCCAGAATTGCAGTTCTCTTGAGAAGCTACATCATAGGCTTCACAGTGCATAGAATAATAGATGTGATAAAAAAAAAAAAAGTCAAGTCATTAATCAAGTAAACAAACAACAACAAAAACAAGCAGGGGGGTGGGGGGGAGTGGGAGGAAAGGGGAGAAAATGAGCACAGGATCAGAGAAATATGGGACACTATTAAGTGTCCCAACAAGGGGTGCCTGGGTGGCTCAGTTGGTTAAGTGTCTGCCTTTGGCTCAGGTCATGATCTCAGGGTCCTGGGATCGAGCCCCATATCAGGCTCCCTGCTCAGTGGGGAGTCTGTTTCTCCCTCTACCCCTCCCCCTGTTCTGGTGCTCTCTCTCTCTCTCTCTCTAATAAATAAAATCTTAAAAAAGAAAGTGTCCTAATATTTGCATAACAGGAGTACCAGAAGGAGAAGAGAGAAGCAGGAAAAAAAATATTGAAAGAAGGAATGGCCAAAAACATCCCAAATTTGATGAAATATTAATCTACATATCTAAGAGGCACAACAAACTCTAAGTATGATAAACACAAACAGATCTACACCCAGACACATCATAGTAAGAATGCGTAGGAGAGGGCAGGTAACAGGAAGGGCAGAAAAAAAAAAGAAGAATTTGATAGCAGCAACATAAAAATGATTTGTCATGTAGAAGGAAACCCCATTAAGTTTAATGGCTGACATCTGGGACACCTGGGTGGCTCAGTCGGTTAAGCATCTGCCTTCGGCTCAGGTCATGATCCCAGGGTCCTGGAATCGAGTCCCATGTCGGGCTCTCTGCTCAGCAAGGAGCCTGCTTCTCCCTCTGCCTGCCACTCCCCCTGCTTGTGCTCTCTCTCTCTCCCTAATAAATAAATAAAATCTTAAAAAAAAAAGTTTAATGGCTGACATCTCATGAGAAACAATGGAAACAGTGAAGGCCAAAAGGCAGAGAGATATCATACTCAAAGTGCTAAAAGAAAAAAAAACTGTTAATCAAGAATCTTATATACAACAAACTATCTTTCACACATAAAGGTAAAATAAATATATTCCCACATAAACAAAAAGAATCTGTTGCTAGTAGACTTGCCTTACATGAAATCCTTCAGTTTGAAACCAAGTGACCCCAGACAACAATATGAATCCATACCAAAAACCAAAGAGCACTGGTAAAAGTAATTATGTAATTATAAAAGACAGTATAAGTGCATATTTCTTCCACTTATTATTTAAAAAGCAGCTGTATGAGACAGTATTATATAATTGCGCTATTAGGCTTACGACATATAGAAATGTAACATATTTAACAATAATAACATATAGGAGGTAGGTGAAAACAAAGTAAGAAAATGGAGTAAATTACACAGATGACAATGTGAATCTACAGCGCCAAATAAAGAACCAGAAATGATAAATAAGAAGGCTAACTTTATGAGAAATTCTATAAATAAGAAATTCTACTTGTCCTTTCTTGGCTTAGCTTCTTTAATAGACAAACAATTCTATAAAGTAGTAATTATAACAATATATTGTTGGATTTGTAGGATATATATATGTAATATATAAAACAATAATAGCGCAAAAAGGAAGAAGAGTGAATAGAGAAATATAAAGGTAGTATTTCTGATCTCACTGTGATCAAGTTAGTATAAATCTGAAGTAGATTCTGATGAATTACATGTATATGGTAAGCTCTAAGGGGCACCTCAGTGGCTCAGTTGGTTAAGCATATGAGTCTTGGTTTTGGCTCAGGTCATGATCTCTGGGTCATGGGACTGCGCTCCATGTCAGGCTCCAAGTTCAGCATGGAATCTGCTTGGGATTCTTGCCCTCCCTCTCCCTTTGCCCCTCCCCCTGCTCATGCTCTCTAAATAAATAAATACATAAACTTAAAAAAAAACGTATATGGCAAGCTCTAGAGCAGCCACTAAGAAAATAAAGTCCAAAGAAAATAAAAGAAAAAAATTATTGAAGTAATTGAAATAGTACAATGGAAAATATTCACTTAATGCAAAAGAAAGCAATAAAGGAGGGTCAGAAGAACAACAAAGACATGAGACATGTAGGAAACAGAAAGTAAAGTGGCAGACATAAATCCAACTATATCAACAGCAACACTAAACGTGAATGGGTTAAACAATCCAATCAAAAGTCAGAGAGATTGTCAAGCTGGATGAAAAAACAAGATCCAACTTTAAGTTGTCTACAGGAGACACACTTTAGATTCAAAAATACAAATACACTGAAAGTGAAAGAATGGAAAAGACAGTATTATATGGTTGCAAATAGCAACCATAAGAAAGCTGCAATGGCTATACTAGTATCTTACAAGGTACTTTTTTAAAGCAAAACAGATTTCTAGAGATAAAGAAGGACATTTTATAATAATATAAGGAGAACTCCTTCAGAAAGATATGAAAATTATAGAGTGCTGCCAACGCCCTGGCGGAGAAGCTGAGGTTATCATCGAATTTGAAATATTTAAAGTGAATACAAAACTGTTTCAGCAATGCAGACAATTAAGTGTGTTGTTGTGGGCGATGGTGCCGTTGGTAAAACATGTCTTCTGATATCCTACACAACAAACAAATTTCCGTCTGAGTATGTACCGACTGTTTTTGACAACTATGCAGTCACAGTTATGATTGGTGGAGAGCCATATACTCTTGGACTTTTTGATACTGCAGGGCAAGAGGATTATGACAGATTACGACCGCTGAGTTATCCACAAACAGATGTATTTCTAGTCTGTTTTTCAGTGGTCTCTCCATCCTCATTTGAAAATGTGAAGGAAAAGTGGGTGCCTGAAATAACTCACCATTGTCCAAAGACTCCTTTCTTGCTTGTTGGGACCCAAATTGATCTCCAAGATGACCCCTCTACGATTGAGAAACTTGCCAAGAACAAACAGAAGCCTATCACTCCAGAGACTGCTGAAAAGCTGGCCCGTGACCTGAAGGCGGTCAAGTATGTGGAGTGTTCTGCACTCACACAGAAAGGCCTAAAGAATGTATTTGACAAAGCAATACTGGCTGCCCTGGAGCCTCCCGAACCGAAGAAGAGCCGCAGGTGTGTGCTGCTATGAACATCTCTCCAGAGCCCTTTCCGCACAGCTGGTGTCAGCATCGTACTAAAAGCAATGTTAAATCAAACTAAAGATTAAAGATTAAAATTCGTTTTTGCAAAAAAAAAAAAAAAAGAAAGATATGAAAATTATAAACATATATGCACCTAGCAATAGAGCCCAAAATGCCTGAAGAAAAAGCTGACAGAAATGAAAAATAGATAATTCAAAAATAATAGTTGGAGCCATCAATAGCCTATTTTCAATAATAGAAATAGGAAGATCAACAAAATAGAACACGTGAACATCATAAACCAACCAGACCTAATAGACATCTACAGAACACATCAACAAGAGCAGAATACACATTTTTCTCAAGTGCACATAGAACCATCTCCAGGATAAACCACATGCTAGGCCATAAAACAAGCCTCAAAAGATTTAAAAGGCTTGAAAACATGCAGAGTTAATCCTCTGACCACAATGGAGGGAAATTATATATCAATAACAGAAATTTGGGAATTCATAAATATGTGGGAATTAACCAACACACACCTAAATAATCATTAAGTAAAAGAAGAAATCACAAGGCAAATTAGAAAATATTTTGAGATAGAGAAAGCAAAAACATAGCAAACAAAACTTGTAAGATGCAGCAGAAAGCAATGCTTAGAGATTTTATAACTGTAAATGGCTTTATTAAAAAAAAAAAATCTCAAACCAATAACCTAATCTTCCACCTTAACATATTAGAAAAATCACAAACCAAACCCAAAGCGAGCGGAAAGGAAATAATAAAGATTAGAGAAGAACTTAATGAAATAGAGAATAGAAACACAGTAGAGACAACCAACAAAACCAAATGCTAGTTTTTTGAGAGCGACAATATTGGCAAGCCTTTAGCTCAGCTGACCAACAACAACAAAAAAGACTCAAATTGTCTTAATTGACAAAACTTCTGAGGACAATTATTGCTTTATACATCATCAGGTACATTAATCACCATGAATCAGAGACACTTTCACATGTGTAAGCTATGTGAAAAAGCACCTCAGCTTGTTGCGCTTTTTTTTCCTGTTAGGTAAACAAATCCACCCTAAATTACATTTCAAGATCCATGAAATTTGTCATTTATCTCAAGTTAACTTCCCCCTATGCCCCAACACACACACACTTTTGCTTTGAGAGGCTCCTTAATTTCAGGGCCCATTACATACCTTTTACTTTCTTTCCCACAACACCATCAAAGCAGGATAGATTTGAGATCAGTTATTTGCACTTGTGTTGATTTACAAATTACACTTTCAAATTCATTCCTACACAAGCGTACTCTCACCAGCATTCATATTCTGAGTCTGAGGTACCGAAGTGTGGAAGGAAGAAGGGGTTTCCTATATTAAAGATTAGTAAGCCTCCACACAACCTTGCCAATGGCTACCACAAGCTGAAATCAAGTAGTTCATGTCAGCCTTTTGACTCAAAACATAGATGGTAAATAAATTTGATTGCTTCAATTAAAAAACATTGGAGGGGGAAATATGGGCAACTAGATATTCCCCTACCGGTCATTTGAATTATTATGTTTATTTTGTGTTTTTCAGGGACAGATGGTTGGAGACTACAGGAAGCAGCAGAAGTTAAGTCCAAGACGATCCCCTAGCTGCTCGGTACCAAGTGCATCAGGGCAGAGGCTGGGTACCTGCAACCCTGCTTTCAGGCCCCGAACACAGGCTCTACCAAAGGAGTTCCAGGGCGCCTTTTGACTGGCTTCTCATCCACAAGAAAATGAAATCTTTGGAGGTCATCTTTAGATGTCAACTACTAATGAGGCAACACCTACGACCCATGTTCAGCGTGTGTGGCATGTTTTAGTCGAGGAGAGAGAAGTCTTTAAATATGCTACAGTTTTTGCAACCATGCTTTGCCATTTCTTCATTTTTGCATACGAGAAACTACAGAAAGGAAGAATCCAGGGCTTCTCTCCACTTCTCAGAGGCTCTGCCCGATGCTGCCCTCCTGTGGTGCGGACTCAGGGCAGACCCCAAACCTTCACAAGCCCCCATGCTTTTCCTCACTCTGCTGCCACGCCCATCCTTTCTCTCCCTGCCCAAGGTTCTACCAGGATCTTCCTTTGCTGCCATTTTCAGGGATACTCGGTGTGATTTTTATTTGTACTTAATGCTTTTGTTATTACAGCCTCTACCCAACACATCTAAAATCTACCCAACACATACTTCTTGCACCTGTATGATTTCTAACTTGGACATTGTGCATCCCCAAATCCCTCCAAATTAGGACTATGAAGTCTTTGGTTTTACAATAATTATAACAACAAATAACATTTATTAAGTACTTGCTTTGTGCCAGGCACTCTACTGCTTTACATAAATTATCTCATTCCGTCACATCTAACTGCTTCTAAGCATATGCTTACATTTGCCAGTAGCACTTAAAATTTAATTAAAATAAAGATATTGTTGATTATCTTGGAAAGCAATGTCTCAACATACTAAAGTCCATAGAATAAAATATTTTAAGGTCTTACAAAATGTACAACACTAAGTTATTATAGGATACTATTAAATTTATGTTTCTATCATGGAAAATAAAGCTATTTTCTGGTATGTTGTACCCACTTACTTTTTATCCTTTTTATGCCTTTCTCAAACTCCTGGAAACCAGAGCTTCTAATATGTCAAATAAATACAATTAGATTCATACATTCAATTTGATCCTTTGAGAAATATATAAAGTGATTTTGTTCTTGCATTAACTCCCAAATTGTTTTGCATAATAACCAGCCTGACATTAATTGTGGCATGAGGGCTGAAAAACAACATGAGATATGACTTTTACTAATCCTTCACATTCCATTTTCAAGCATATGCTGTTCCTGATCAAAACTCTTATTTATTATCAAGAATTACGTTATTCTCTGAATGAGTGAATTTTCTCTCGGAGACAGGAAATGAAGGATCGCTAACACTGGGAGTGTATTTTTCCTGTCTCAGTATTAATACATGATATATATTCATATTAATAACAACTCTGAAAACTAGTTTCATTTCTTCTACACATAAGCAATAAACAGTATGTGCAAAAATCTGAATCCTAGCAGCAGTGGTGTGGATATAGAATATTGGGTTTCTTTTGAAGGCACAGCCATTTCTAGTATTTCATTAGAGCATGTGTAGAGGCAACTGTCACAGATGTCCATCAAAGCTGGGTTGGATGAAGACAAACAATGCAGGCTTTGAGGATAAACTGTAGCTGCAGCTCAAAAGTTTCCGTTTCTCATCGAAGGGCACTATAGGATCATTGTCTTCCTCCTTGAGGCAAAAAGAATGAATCAATTATGTTACTGACATCCCTCCACAGCAGACCAAAAAGTCTTTTTTGCAGTCCCACAAGAGACAATGAGAACAAGATTTCATAAGAAAATGTGGAAATTTCAAAAATATCTACACGCTCAAGTTTGTCATCTCTGCAATTTTTCCATAAAGTCTCCCATCATTTTATTTCTGTGGCAGAATCTACTAGTGTAAAATTTCACAGAAGTATTTTCAACAGAAGTAAATGTTTGAACTACTAAACAAAACATTTCTGTACCATGTTTAATAATAAGATTCAGCTTTAAGTTATTGTCATTAATTTCATGTATATTAATCACAGATGGTAACTGCTTGCACACAAAGATCACTTCTTGGTAGCCCCCAAATAACTTTGCAATTCTATTAAGTAAATGGATAAATAATAAATACAAAATAATACATGAAACAATAGCCTTTTTTGAGATAGTGAATTTCCCATTTAGGAAAAAAAACAGCTAAGATTTTAGTTCAATAACATCTATTCGTGTTGCCAGCGATGGGAGTGGCAAAACCAACTTTCATATAGTTGCTGCACGTTAACTGGTCCACTTTTTGGGGACAATAAATACCCATTAAAATTCAGATGCATATACTTTCTGACCTGAAATTACATTCCTAGAAGCTTATTGTACAGATATAACCATCCAATCATATGAAGATTTTATGTCGGGATATTCACTGCAGCAATTAAACGACTTCCTTCCTTAATAAAGTATAGAGTAGGACACAATACTTGAAAAATGTCCACATAGGCTATGTGTGTATGGATGTATTGTACATACACACATACACGTGTCTGCCCACATATGCAAATGTACATACAGATACATGCAATTTCTGGAACAATTTATTAGAAAGTATTTGTAATGTGGGGTATATTTTTCCCAACTACATTTCAAAGAAGATATAGTCCTAATCAAATCTTTAAGATCTCAGATAGAACTTCAAAGGTAAAATAGGACTTTGTGTATATATTTGACAATTATAACCCAGCAAATTTTAAGTCAAAGTGACTCACACGAAACTGATAAAATTGTGAAGCCACAGCATTTCAGAGCTAAAAGGAGCCTAAAGGTCATGATGTATACATTTTCTGCAAAAGAAAAATAACCTGGAGTTCCCCATTTCCTAAAATGCGTTCCACGTAAGCAAAAATTAGTTGGAAAAATGAATCCGTGTTCAAAAAAAACAAACTGGAAACTCTGGTTAAATACAGTAATATATGGTTCTTATATGTAAAACCACCTCAGAGTTCTTATATACAAAACCACCTAACATGCTAATGTGCACTGTAAATCTCCAAAAGAAGGTTATGATATCCAGGATTCTCCAAATTTGTAGACTATCAGCTCTTGACTTAACAAACACCTTAATGGGTATCTTAATGGCTCCGCAGAACACTTTTGGAAAAGGCTAGTCGACAGGAATATATATTACAAGTTTACCAGAGTAATGAAATTTCATTTTAAGAATATATGAAGCCATTCTAAAAATTAAACTATCATGGTCCGAAATACCAATTAAACAAAAGATAGTTGATATGCAGTCTCCGTAATCATACAAATTCAGGTCTTAACACAAAACATTTTAACACTGAACGTTCATACACCCAGAGTGCAACAGATGCACATGCCCATTGGTGTCTCATTCATTTTGAAGTTCTAAGGGTCTGATGTAAATGGTTCTCAACAGATGCTAAGTGAATTCTAGTCTACCAGAGTGTGGACTCTTCCTGGTAAATTTAGGTACTCACCCTGCTAAAATCTCCCTCAAGAAGAAACTTAAAGATAATAATGCCCCCTGCTTATTGGGCTTATTCTCCTCTACAAGTCACTGTGAGGATGATCTTTATGTTAGCTCCCCCCAAAGATGGATGCTTGATCTTGTTCACTGCAGAGACCAAGTTACCTGGGAAAATACTTCAATCGATCACAATCTGCAGTATGGATTTGGAATCAGGGAGACCAAGGTTCAAATTCCAGTTCTGCCGCCAACTTGCTGTGAGATTTTAGGCAATCTACTCGCCCCTTCTGAGCTTCAGATGATAGCAGAACCAGACAGAACCCTCACAGGGTTGTGTGAGATTGTAATAGGACAACAGACAAAAGGTGACAAAGTGAGTCCCAGGCACATAATTGAGCTACTAGTGAGGATTTCGGTTGATTCTACAGATACCTCACTAGCTGAAAGTTGAACTACGCTATGGCCTATAATTTTCCATAGCATGTGTTCAAAATTTACTTTTCAGAATTTCAGAGGAAGTTTTCATGGAAGGAAATTATACTTGATCTCATTCGCACTGTGTTCCCAAGGTCCAACGCAATATCTGGCCCACAGCAAACACTCTAAGAAAATCGTGTGTGTGTGTACATACATTAAAAAGTGTAACAAAATGACAGGGGCAACTTTATTATATAATTTTATTTAATTTTTAAAAATTTGGGGGCGCCTGGGTGGCTCAGATGGTTAAGCGTCTGCCTTCGGCTCAGGTCATGATCCCGGCGTCCTGGGATCGAGCCCCGCGTCGGGCTCCCTGCTCGGCGGGGAGCCTGCTTCTCCCTCTCCCTCTGCCTGCCTCTCTGCCTACTTGTGCTCTCTCTCTCTCTGTCAAATAAATAAATAAAATCTTTAAAAAAAAAAAAAAAAGAAAAAATTTGTATCAAAATTACACATTCACATAAAGGGTTAAATAGTTCTAGAATGTTTCTTATGAAAACTAGCAGGTTTCTGTCTCTTATGCCACCAATTTCCTCAACTCTTTTAACTGAGTATTTTATTTACACCAAAGAGCTAAATAGTGTAATTGTATTACTCCTTTTCAATTTTTAGTATTGTCTCCTGACTTTCCCCATGGAGAATGAAGATTTGACCCTCCTTCCTCCTGTCAGACACCCCCCCACCACACACACACACACACACACGCATATAAACCCTTCCTTTACTCCATCCTTCCAATACGGTTATGTAGTTACACACACACACACACACATATGCATATAAACCCTTCCTTTACTCCATCCTTCCAATACGGTTATGTAGTAACTTTGGCTGGATCAGTTTCCGTTCTATTCTTTCCATTATTGTGATGATGTAAATCTTATCCAGAGCTGAATTATGTGTATTAATGTATCATTTTCTTCCTGCACTTCTTTTCCCCTCCTGGAGTGAGTAACTGTAATTATCTTGGGGTTTTTCCACCTTAGTTTTCTATGTACTCAATCCAAAGCTACCTCCCAATCCTCTGACACTCAGGAAGTTAAAGGCATATCATGCAATCTATCATTTTCATCTTCTTGGAGAAAGTTCTAGAATCTTCTCATTTGCTCACATCTGGACTCATGACTCTATCCCTACAACCCTACTTCACAAACATTCTGGGCATCTCCTTTGCTGGATCTCCTGGTTCCCAAATTCCCCATCTGTTTTCTCCATTTTGGTGACACGTACCTTCTAGTAGCTTCCTAGGATATAATCTTCAATGATCTTGATATTTAAAAATGACTACTGTTAAGTTTGACTGGGTAAAAAATTCTAGATGAGTTGTAATTTTCCCTCAGAATTCATGCTTGACGTTTAGCTTCCAGTGTTCCTATTAGTCTGATGTTCAAATTCCAGGTTCTTTCAATGTTTTTTCTCCCTGTAATTCCTCCTGCCGTGTCTAGGAATTTCACAATGTAGTGCCTTGCATTTTGATCAACCATGCTGAAAATTCAACGGGTCCTTTCAAACTGTAAATGTATGTCCATGAGTCCTGAGAAAATGTTTAAATGATTTTGTTGCTGCTTCCTCTCCTCCATTTTCTCTGTTCTCTCTCTCATTTTCTGATTATTTGGATAATGGACCTCCTGCACGGGTTCTCCAATTTTCTTATTTATCTCCTGGTTTTGCTCTATCTTCTCAGAAATTTCAGTTCTGCTTTCTGATTCTACTATAGAAGTTTTCCTTTCTGCTATCATGTTTTCGGTTTCCAAAAGCTTTTTAGAATATTCCTTTTCTTCACAGCATCCAATTCCTTTTTCATGGCTGCAATCTCTTCCCTCACCTCTCTGAAGATATGAATGATCACTTTTTTGAACTTTTCCTAAGTATTTATTTCTTATATCTTGCCTTCTTCTATTTGTTTTGGGCTCTTTTGTATTATATGCCTTCTTCAAATGTCTGTAACTGTTCATACCTAAGAATGGGAACTACCAACAACAACAACACAACAAAAATCCAGAGTGGAGGCTCTGAGCACACAGAGGGCACTTATTTATCTGTCCTGCCTTCACCATAGAAGTACCAGCTGGGCCATTTCATTAAGAAGTCCCTGGGGTTGCTCAGATTCTCCAGAAAGACCCTTCCAGGCCCCAGTCTAGAGAGTAGAGGCCTTTCTGCCAGTGTCCTGGAGGCCAAGTGGGGGAGGAGCAAACACAAGACATGAGAATATTATTTATTCTATTTTTCAGAAAGGAATCCTGATACTCAATTGCACCTAGGTCCTCTAATAGGCAGATTCTCTCTTCATCAGCTTTTAACAACTACACAGGATTCCAGCCTCCTCTCAATCCAACTTCTAGAGATTATCTGTTGCCACAATTCCTGTGATTTTGAGAGATTATCACGTAAACAGGCTTGTTCCTCACATCTGCTAAGTCTATTACCTCACAACCATCTGCTTCCAGCTTCCAAAATATTTTTGCTGCTGTCTCTTTTGTTTTCTCTATCCTTGGAGGTTTGTGCACTTAAAAAAACACACACACACACAAAACTTTTCCTGTTATTTTAATACAGTTTGTGGTGGAAACAAAATTAATTGCCTATGATCAATGGATTATCATTATTTGATACAAGTTCTTTTTTATACATTTGTGTATTTTCCCAAGTTTCTACCATAACTATATTACTTGATAATCAGAATATATATTTATTCAGAAAAACCATCTAAAGAAATGATACTTTCAATATACAAAGGCAAT